ATCAATCCTTCGAAGGAGTCTAAGTAACGATTCGATAGAGCAGACCCTACTGGATATGAAACAATTTTTTTCTCCTTCATGTAACTCCTCAAAATTTTTTAATAGAATTTTGATTAACTTTTGACTAACAATAATAAAAATAATTTTAAATAACAATAAAACAATATTTGAACACGTATGCCGAGATTCAAAGAAAGTCAAACATTTGAATTACTTCTCGATGTGCCAGCCCAGTATTTTCGACTCGTGAAAGAAGCGCTGTCGCTGCGACAGAAAATTGTATCAGCTCGACAGTCGATCCACTTTCTCACACGCTGCTTACATCAACGTATTGTGCCAAACTTCATTCTTCACAAAAACTTCGATGTATGCGGATTACCAGAACAAGTAAAGACAATTCAACTTCGTTTGTTACGGACTGTCCTATGCACCAAGAAGAACCAGATATGTATGCATGGACGAAGAAGTGCATTTCAAAAGAACGATGTTGTGCATTGTATTTAGAGATCGCCTCTGGCATAGAATTGTGGGTAGGTCGATATCAATTTGCGCTTCTATCCGTTACAACGCGAAAACAACCTTGCAAGCAAAGTCTGAAAGTCCATTGAGCAGGTCACAGAAAGTCTCTACAAGACAATCCGATGCAACGAGCCCTTACAGTGAGCACAGTACTGAAAAAGATTGCCCCAACGAAATCCACACATCACGTGTGACAGTGTTAGGTGGATTCACGCTTCCTGATACTGCACGCTCTCTACTGGAACTGGGCCCTAATTTTTCACCATCTCAACCCACTTCTACGACTGTCGTGCACAAGGTCACTTGTGATTTGCAAGAACTCCAAAATAGTTTCAGAAAGAAAGCTAATTAAGAAGGCGAAGGTGTAAAACAACTACAACGTGACCTGAGAGTATCTATACCTTTCCCAGCAACGTTCTTCAAGCAGCAGGAAGCAAATCTCACTGTATATATAAACTTTCGACTGTTCGCTGATGAAGTCTTTAAAACGTTGGAGAGGCTCGCAAGAAAAAGACGAATTCTAACATCACCAGTACCCAAAGGGAAGGCTTGAAAATGATCAAAGAAATGGTAAAAACTGCCGAAATGCGATTACCAACGAGTGATAAGGGAAGAGAATTTGTGGTAATCCCTCATCGTTTGGATGTTGCGCTGGCAGAGAGACATTTACAAGACCAAACTCTCTATCGAAAATCTTCATTTGATGAGTTTCAAAAACAATACCGCAAATTGAACACAGAATGGCAAAGAGCAGCGAAGGCAGCTAACTAACAGGCAGCTAACAGCTACCATCCGAAATGGTTAGGCGCCTCAAGACCGACTTACCAACCTGCCCAGTGCTCTATTTATTAAAACGCACAAAATCCAATCCGCCGACTTAACATCTGATAACCCCGCAACCTTCAGTGTGAGACCGAATCAATTGCGTGGGAGGTCCCACAGATCGAGTAGGATGGTTCCTGAACACGATACTAACACATATGCTTCAATTCATTCCTTCTCATCCGACGAACACCCAGATGTTCCTAGACCGTTTACGGAAACTACGTATTGACAGCAATTATGCCATGGTGTCATTCGACGTTAACGCCCTTTGCACAAACGTATCCATTGACTCGGCAATGCAAGCAGTTCTTGAGCTACTGTCAGAACACGAGCAAGACGTCAAGTTCTACGGATTAAACATCGCTCAAATACCAGTCTTGCTGAAAGCTTGTCTAGATTGTAATGTTTTTAAATGGTCAGAAGAGTTCTTCTCGCAAATTAGAGGATGGGCCAACGTTTGGCTTCTACAGTTGCGATTATTTTCATGGCCAAGATTGAAAAACCCATGTTAGAATTGCAACCCCTGCTTTATTGTCGATATATAGACGCTTGCTTCATCGTTTGCGTTAACCAAGAAGAAATTGATAAATGCTTCGAGCTGATGAATCGACAATCAAAACACATAAAGCTTAGCCGGGAAAAACCAACTCATGGGTGGCTGCCGTTTCTGAACGTTTAAGTTAACATCGCCAACGGCATTTACACAACGAAAATTTATAGAGAGCCAAGCAATAAAAATATTCTCATCCATTTCCATTCGGCCCATCCGCAACATATGAAGCACGCTGTCATAAAATATGTTCCGCACAGCCTCGAAAGTTTGCACTCGTCCTGAGGAAAGAAGAGAATCATTAAACATCGCGCACAAAATAGCGACTTCTAATGGCTATGACAACAGCATCCAGCATTGCAACCTCTATCGCAAAGCACACGAGAAATTGACTTCGGCTGATAAAAAAAAGATTCTTTTTGTATGTATTGTGTGTTCTCCTTGTGCCGTACAGGTTGGTAGGCGGTCCTTTATTAGTCAGTATCAACGGCCTAACGTTTCAACGCTTTCGTCTTCGTCAGAGGCCTAGAATGGTTCTGAGCTCCATCAGTGAGTCCAGCCCACCAAATGTCTCCCCTAGTTCTGCCAGTTTTCGGCCTTCACCCAATCTAGTTGCCAAAAAAATTGCGAAAGCAAAGACATACCAGGGAACCACCGTTTCGTCATCAGCTGTCCGAACAGGAAGGAGACGGTCACGACGGACGAATGAGTTATACTGCATTGGATGGTAAATGATCTACAGTCATAACTCGCATAATGATATAAACGGGAGAAAGTCAGCGGTTTTTGATAGACATTCGTTTTTGTTGTTCATTTCTGGTTTCTCCGCAGAAATCCAGAACGCTTCCACAGCTTTCCTAGCTGAGATCTCCTCTTCCAATGTTACAATCGTGACTTTAATGTCAAAATCGTCATCACCATGCGCCTCGCGCCTATGTCTGCCAAGCGTTGAAGCCAAGTTCTTTCGCCTTTTATCTGCAAGATGTTCTTTTACGCGAATGCCAAGCATTCTTCCTGTTTCCCCAATGTAACGTGCGGCTCAAACACTCGAGTTGATACACAACTAGATTGGGTGAAGGCCGAAAACTGGCAGAACTAGGGGAGACATTTAGTGGGCTGGACTCACTGATGAAGCTCAGAACCATTCTAGGCCTCTGACGAAGACGAAAGCGTTGAAACGTTAGGCCGTTGATACTGACTAATAAAGGACCACCTACCAACCTGTACGGCACAAGAAGAACACACAATACATACGAAGAATGCCCAGGTTCAGAACAGACGGAACTTGGAAAGATTCTTTTTGTTATGCCGTTTATTAACGATGAAGTAAGTAAAGCAATACGGCAATGTTTGAAGAAAACGGGCCTGAGCAATTTGGTTTCGGTTGTGGACATCCCTCCAGATAATCTCAAACGTATGCTGGTTCGAAACCGCATATACGATCGAGACTGTACCACTCCGAACTGTGTAATCTGCCCGATCAAAGAAGCTGCATGAGCTCTGGAGTAATCTATCTCATCACGTGTGTGGAATGCGGTGATGATTACATAGGTGAAACTGCTCGGCCATTATGTATTCGCATAAAGGAACACCTTGATGGTAAAGAGAACTCACGACTTTCAACGCCATTGGGCACTCACAGAGTGCAGAAACATGAAGGGAACGATTTCAAAGTCAAAGTACAAATCTTGGCGCATGAACAAAAAAAGCTCGCAAGACTCTGGAAGCCTATTACATTCACGCCCGAAATCCACGGATGAATCGTAAAGGAGAATGTATCGCAATCACTCGTGAGCTGCTACCATATATGGGACAAATTTTCTAGAATGTCATCCACTGTGTATCTACGTCCATACTAAACGGCGGTATTCCTACTGCAGAAGAAGTTTGACGGGAGAGGGTGAGTATTGCCCGAGAGAAGATAAATACCTACACTCTTTGACTTTTGAAATTGCTTGAATAGTTTGAAAAGCTTCGTTTCGGTCAGTCTGCGAACTGCATATCGTCCCATTCAGGCTCTGACGACGGCGAAGTGGCCGAAACGTAAGCCAATAAAAGTCTATAAGAATGTCGGTTCTGGCTTAATAACACAAAACAATATTTGAACACGTATGCCGAGATTCAAAGAAAGTCGAACATTTGAATTTTATGACCTTTAGAAAGAGGATGAAATTCTGCATCGAATGCTACCAAGACCTCTTCGGAACCTTTGTTCCATCACACGTGGCGTCCTTTTGAAAAAAGCGAAATTACTTTCGGAATGACCTAATATGAGGGCTTGTAAATTTTTAAAAACCCATTATCCAGAAAGCGCATTCAGTTTTTAGCTCCAAAAAATGACCATAACTTCTGCGAATAGGAAAGGCAGGTTTGATTCAGGGTCTTATGCCCTTTAATATGGTATACATCACATTTAGAACGGCCACTTCGATTGAACAACCTTCTCTTGTAAGGAACTTTTGAAAATTTTGGTGTTCAGGAGTGTTGACGGGATAAAGGTCTATACATTGATACTGTCGGATCCATGATGGGCGGGATACGTTTTATGAACATTTCTGGCAACAAGCTGGCAAGGCCAGACGATGTAGTATGCGGCAGTATGGTCCATAGTTTCTAGGGAATATGGGAGGATGGCACAATCATGTCTGCACACGTCACGTGAATTACATGGTACGCCATATCAGCGCACACTCAGATTTATACGCGAAGAACACTATTTGATTCACAAAAATTATTTCCAACCCCTCGGTATCAATTCCTACACGATGCACACATAAAGAAAAATTGCCAGCCATTTTCCAATTTTTTTTTCATCCCCGTTTTTACGCTAGCTGCACCAAAGTGCTGCCATAAAAGAGACAGGCGAGGATATATTGAGAAAAAAGCATTCAAAATTGACAATTTTGAATGTGCTTACAAAATTGCGTAAACTTTCTAGCAATTTGTGCGTTTGCGGCATCAATCGTGCTGTTGTGTACGCCCTGTCGTGCCCTACGTATGAAGCAAAGTCGATGATTTCGGGAAGCTTTCGGAAATTTCGAATTAAGAATAGTGTAACAGAAATTATCGACAACCTAATATAACAAAACTACCATGTTAAACTTACTTGCGTTTGCAGCTTTTTTGGCCATCTTGTCTGCGTTGGAGTTCAGCCCGTCGGCAACATCTCGTTCAACCTCAACATGAGTATTTGAAAGAAGTGGTTTCAAAGGACTTGCTGCCGTACTTCACTGATGTCACTAATAAAGTCAAAGAAAAAATTCTGTTTCTGATTACGAATGTCAGAATTACGAACCTTTAAAAGAGGGCCTGCCTGTATGAAATGTACTAATGTCACCACAAATATCAATAGTCGCAGTGACATGTCCTACTCTGGTAAGTCAGACGAACACAGATGGTGAAGAGATTCTGGAAATTTTAATTTGAAAACCCTCAAGCTATGTCTACGCCGTACAGATGAGAAACATTTACTGTGAAAGCTTAGAGTGTATGAAGCTTGACTAAGCTTTTCCGAAAATTCTAAATGGTTTGGTTGCGTTCCATGCAACTATTTTCTAGGGGGTTTTGCACTTACTGCATATGGATACCACTTAGAAGATCTTTTCTTCTCTTTCCAATGCTTACTCAGGCTTGTTGAAATAATTCACAGTGATAGAGTTTCGATCCCAAAGCACAACTTGCCAAGATGTGATGATGTTCAGGAATAATTTTTTATGGAGAGAATCTCTGCAGTAGTCTTGAGAAACATCTGGGTAACAGTGGGTGAAAGTGTAACGGGCTGATATATGCTGATATATGCTTACTGTCTCGCTTAGAAATCGGCTTCCCCAAATCCAACCTCAAAAATCAAAGATAACATTAGCTATTCTGCAAGCGACAACAACCTATAAATAGTCAGTAAAGCAAATGCAAGCAGATCCCATCACCCGAACAGGTTTTTTCGTCCGCGACCAAAAATAACAGTATGTTAAAGTCAGCATTTCTGCGCTCTTGGGGGAAGGCTTATATAGCTGTTTTTTTATTCATTTACATAAAAGTTTATGCAGCAAACACTAAATGCACTCTTTTTAACTATAATATGATCTCTGAAATGTAGGCACAATGGTAGAAACCACATGTGTCTGCCTATCATTATGTAGCAGCATTACTATGTAAAAGTAGATGATCTCAGAGAATCTGATATATAAAGCTGAATGTCTGTTTGTCTTTCTGTCTGTATGTATGTATGTCTGCATGTGTGTTCGTATGTTCCGAATAGAAAATTCCATTTCCGAACCGATCTGGACCAAACTTGGCACACTTACACTTCGGGCCCCGGCGGGTGTCATAGGCTACTTTTCGTCATCGATCGATATCGATTTTATCGATTTTTATCGATTTTTTTTGCAGAGTTCACCTACGGGGTGAGAGTTTGCACAAGGGGGGTAATCGAGCATGGGGATTCCGAATACAAGGAGTTGGCACAGAGGGGTATGTGAGCATGCTAGTTACGAATATCATATTAGTTTCTGGAATTATTCATCACTTTTATCGATCTTATTGATTTTCTTGCAAAGTTTGAGCTACAGGGCTGGGAGTTGGCACAGGGGGGGGGGGGGAGAGCGGGGTCGTCGAGCATCCTGATACCGAATACAGTATTAGTTTTTAGTATCATCTACTACTTCTACCGATTTTATCAATTTTCTTGCAAAGTTTGAGCTATGGGGCTGGGAGTTGGCACAAGAACTAGGCTTGCTGATTAGGAAAACAAAACGGGGACAGGAAACTGGCATGTAGAAGTGGGTACAGGGGAAGGTTTTACGGGATAGCAGTGGCGGACCGAGGGGGGGGGGAGAATGGGTTGCGAAATTTTTGAAACTTACCTATATCTTATATATAAAGCTGAATGTCTGTTTGTATGTCTCTATGTCTGTATGTCTGTGTGTACGTATGTTCCGAATAAAAAATCCCATTTCTGAACCGATCCGGACCAAACTTGGCACACATACACTTCGGGCCCCGGCGGGTGTCATAGGCTACGTTTCGTCATCGATCTATATCGATTTTATCGATTTTTATCGATTTTTTTTTGCAGAGTTCACCTACGGGGTGAGAGTTTGCACAAGGGGGGTAATCGAGCATGGGGATTCCGAATACAAGGAGTTGGCACAGAGGGGTATGTGAGCATGCTAGTTACGAATATCATATTAGTTTCTGGAATTATTCATCACTTTTATCGATCTTATTGATTTTCTTGCAAAGTTTGAGCTACAGGGCTGGGAGTTGGCACAGGGGGGGGGAGAGCGGGGTCGTCGAGCATCCTGATACCGAATACAGTATTAGTTTTTAGTATCATCTACTACTTCTACCGATTTTATCAATTTTCTTGCAAAGTTTGAGCTATGGGGCTGGGAGTTGGCACAAGAACTAGGCTTGCTGATTAGGAAAACAAAACGGGGACAGGAAACTGGCATGTAGAAGTGGGTACAGGGGAAGGTTTTACGGGATAGCAGTGGCGGACCGAGGGGGGGGGGGAGAATGGGTTGCGAAATTTTTGAAACTTACCTATATCTTATATATAAAGCTGAATGTCTGTTTGTATGTCTCTATGTCTGTATGTCTGTGTGTACGTATGTTCCGAATAAAAAATCCCATTTCTGAACCGATCCGGACCAAACTTGGCACACATACACTTCGGGCCCCGGCGGGTGTCATAGGCTACATTTCGTCATCGATCTATATCGATTTTATCGATTTTTATCGATTTTTTTTGCAGAGTTCACCTACGGGGTGAGAGTTTGCACAAGGGGGGTAATCGAGCATGGGGATTCCGAATACAAGGAGTTGGCACAGAGGGGTATGTGAGCATGCTAGTTACGAATATCATATTAGTTTCTGGAATTATTCATCACTTTTATCGATCTTATTGATTTTCTTGCAAAGTTTGAGCTACAGGGCTGGGAGTTGGCACAGGGGGGGGGGAGAGCGGGGTCGTCGAGCATCCTGATACCGAATACAGTATTAGTTTTTAGTATCATCTACTACTTCTACCGATTTTATCAATTTTCTTGCAAAGTTTGAGCTATGGGGCTGGGAGTTGGCACAAGAACTAGGCTTGCTGATTAGGAAAACAAAACGGGGACAGGAAACTGGCATGTAGAAGTGGGTACAGGGGAAGGTTTTACGGGATAGCAGTGGCGGACCGAGGGGGGGGGGAGAATGGGTTGCGAAATTTTTGAAACTTACCTATATCTTATATATAAAGCTGAATGTCTGTTTGTATGTCTCTATGTCTGTATGTCTGTGTGTACGTATGTTCCGAATAAAAAATCCCATTTCTGAACCGATCCGGACCAAACTTGGCACACATACACTTCGGGCCCCGGCGGGTGTCATAGGCTACATTTCGTCATCGATCTATATCGATTTTATCGATTTTTATCGATTTTTTTTGCAGAGTTCACCTACGGGGTGAGAGTTTGCACAAGGGGGGTAATCGAGCATGGGGATTCCGAATACAAGGAGTTGGCACAGAGGGGTATGTGAGCATGCTAGTTACGAATATCATATTAGTTTCTGGAATTATTCATCACTTTTATCGATCTTATTGATTTTCTTGCAAAGTTTGAGCTACAGGGCTGGGAGTTGGCACAGGGGGGGGGGGAGAGCGGGGTCGTCGAGCATCCTGATACCGAATACAGTATTAGTTTTTAGTATCATCTACTACTTCTACCGATTTTATCAATTTTCTTGCAAAGTTTGAGCTATGGGGCTGGGAGTTGGCACAAGAACTAGGCTTGCTGATTAGGAAAACAAAACGGGGACAGGAAACTGGCATGTAGAAGTGGGTACAGGGGAAGGTTTTACGGGATAGCAGTGGCGGACCGAGGGGGGGGGGGAGAATGGGTTGCGAAATTTTTGAAACTTACCTATATCTTATATACAAAGCTGAATGTCTGTTTGTATGTCTCTATGTCTGTATGTCTGTGTGTACGTATGTTCCGAATAAAAAATCCCATTTCTGAACCGATCCGGACCAAACTTGGCACACATACACTTCGGGCCCCGGCGGGTGTCATAGGCTACATTTCGTCATCGATCTATATCGATTTTATCGATTTTTATCGATTTTTTTTTGCAGAGTTCACCTACGGGGTGAGAGTTTGCACAAGGGGGGTAATCGAGCATGGGGATTCCGAACACAATATTAGTTTTCAGGATTGTCGATTACTTTTATCGATTTTATCGATTTTTTGCAAAGTTTGAGCTACGGGGCTACGGAGTTTGCACAGGGGGGTAATCGAGCATGGGGATTCCGAATACAATATTAGTTTTCAGGATTATCGATTACTTTTATCGATTTTATCGGTTTTTTTGCAAAGTTTGAGCTACGGGGCTACGGAGTTTGCACAGGGGGGTAATCGAGCATGGGGATTCCGAATACAATATTAGTTTTCAGGATTATCGATTACTTTTATCGATTTTATCGGTTTTTTTGCAAAGTTTGAGCTACAGGGCTGGGAGTTTGCAAAGTGGGGTAATCGAGCATGCTGATTACGAGTTCGATATTAGAGCAAAATTTTTTGTGATAGAGCTTGCTCAAACTTCGTGTATAAGGGTTATCTTAAGGGCCGGGCCTACTTCGAGCGATTTCAATCGCGACGCGATTTGGCAATATTCCAGGTGTCCATATCTCATTGTAAGCACATTATAAATGTACAGAAGATAGGGCATTTCATCAGTTTACGTAAGTTATGCAAACTATGCATGTGCAGTTTGCTAAGTTGGATCCGAAGACTTCTGGCGAATTGCCAAATCGCATCGGGACTGAAATCGCGTGAAGTATGCCCGGCCCTTTACATGCTGATTACAGATATCACACTTTCTCCGCAGAACGTCTTCCCGTGTGGTTACGATAGGTGTACGGTAGGAAGTCAAAATCATGAATTCGGCTGGAGTTCGGTCCATATGGCTTATTCGACATGCCAATTACGAATATCATTTCTCTCTGCATATTGGGACCTTTTCATAGAGTTGTGGTGGTTATATGGCATGAAGTCGAAAACATAGATTTGCTTTAAACTTCTCTAGGGTGGCCATTTAGCGCGCTGAACATGAATATCATGCTGATTTCGCAGGATAGTGCAATTTCTTTGGTTACAGTGGGTGTAGATGGGTTGAAGTTCCAGATTTGCTCAAAACCTTACCTATAACGGTTCACAAGTATATCGTTATGAATATGATGCTTGCTCGCTGTCATAACGCAATAGTGAAGTTATGGTGAGTTGCAGGGTTTGAATGGACATTTTTTCGCTTTCGGGCCAATTTAGATCCCAGATATTCAAGAGACAGGGAAACGGTCGTTTTGCATGGCGATCTCCAGCG